CAGCAGTACACGGCGCTGTCTGTCAGCTTCAAATCTTTCATGAACAAGTGGAAAGTGCTTTCTGCCAGGTTGAGAATCCCACTTAAGTGTGCAAAGCCTGGAGCAGATTTGTTATATCCATAACTATTGGCATTGAGCAGTAACTGAGGAGCTTGCTCTGCATATTGGTGATACCAGAACAGGTCAGAGCTTGCAGTTGCAGCAGATACCGAATAAGTGCCGGGTATTGTTGCATCTTCTCCCTTTACTGCTTTGACTCCTTTTTCTAATGTGACACTGGGTCTCCACTACTTATCTCTGAAATTAAATATTGGAAACACAAGAGGTGACAGAGAGGATGAGAAACAGATGCTCTCATGGAGATGAAATTGGGAAATATCATGAGGAGTTAAGTACTTAGTCTGGATATTCAGTAGAACAGGCCTGCGACCAGGAGAATGACCAGAGTCACCAAAATTTTCTGACCATTATTCCCAAATGATCTTCAGAAAAAGACTTTGTGATCACCATCTACACTGAACTGGAATTAAATTAAAACCGCTCAGGAATGTTTTGCAGAGAACTGAGGTTTCAGTACCCGACACATTTTTATTTTTTCAAGCAATCACTTTCTGTCAAAGAGTAACTGTTCAGAGAGTAATCATCTCCCATGACCAGCAGAAGAACGTTAAAAAAAAACTCTTTGATGCTGCCACAAACGCAGTGACAGACCCACACGCAGACACAGTGACAGACATACAACACAGGCACAGACACACAGACACAGTCACAGGGGGGCTATTGATTTATCACTCAATGGAGAGCAGTATTTGTTAATCAGCAGAAGATTTACTTGGGCATGTTTAACATTAAACCGAAAGACTTCATGTGGTTTGGAAACGATGTTGAGGACTCCGAGGTCCAATCACTCCCGACTGTATACAGAAGTGTGGCTACCTCTGCTTGGCCTGTCGTGCGTGTGGAATAGGACGTATCCAAGAATGGTACTGGTTGTGTCTGGGACGTTGTTTGTCAAATTCCATAGGTATGTGTATATCAGACTGTTGTTTGACTAATCTGTGAGACAGCTGTCCCAATTTTGGTACTATTTTCCAAGATGTTAGTAAGACCACCTTTACAGATTCCGCATGATTGCTTCTGAAGTTATCCTTTACGGTGGGTACTTCAATACCAGGTAGATAATCCATTTTCATATCTCTGTTGAGACTTCAAAGAAATTGATACAACAGAGTAGCTTGCTGGGCCAGTATTGTGGGTCTGGATTCACATGTGGACCAGACCTGATGAGGACAGAAGATTTTCTTCCCTGAAAGATATTAGGGAGCCAGCTGGAGTTTACAATCAATCGCCAATGTTGTCATTGTCATTAGCAGATTCTGAATTGCTTTATTTAATAAATTCAAAATCCACCATCTACCTTGCCGGGATTCGAATTCAGATTCCCAGAACATTAGATGACTATTAATAATCTAACGATAATACTGATAGGCTATCACTTCCTACGTTTGCAATCTTTCTACAAAGTTTTCCTCTTCAAATATATTTTTCTTTTCCTTTTGAACGTTCCTGTTGAAAATCGTTCGATCATCCTTTTAGGTAATGCATTCGAGGTCATTTTAAATCAGTGGAAGGAGTGAGACATATTTCAAAGGACAGTGTATGGGAAGCACATATCATGACAAGAGGAAGTTATTATGCATAATACACGTCCTTATTTATCTATGAGTGAAACTATTACCAATATAAAAAAACCCTACAGATCCATTTCACTACCTCCACCTGCAATTTTACTGAAGATTTTAACTAATACATTTTAAATGTACTTTTGTTAATAATTCGAGATGGGAACACAAACCTTTCTCATGCTGGAGAATTATCAAGTGCAATTTTGAAACTAGAAACTTACACCTGCTGCTTTATTTTCAGTCAGGAACAGATCACAAAGACACACAGTTATGTGTTTCAGATCTCCAGCACGCGCAACTGCATTTTATATTTTAAATACGATCACAGTCTTCCGGAGAAAAGAGATTAAAGACAACATCACAATGGAGAAACCATGGAAATGTGAAGACTGTAGCAAAGTATTCAATTACCCAATCTAACTGGAAGTCCATTGACGAATGTTGTATGGAATGAATTTCTGGAGTTCGTCCTGATCTTTTCTGACTCTGAACGTTGAAAGACCAAATACGAATTAGTTTGTTTAGGCTTAGTTTTGTTTAAAGAGAAAACACAATTAATAACCTTGTTGTTAAAAGTCTTGAGAATAGAGATCATTATATTGTCGAATTTTAAATCAAGATTCAAAGCAATATAGTTCATTCTATAACTAGCGTCTGAAACCTGAACAATAGAAACTATGGAAATTGGGAAGGGAAATTGGCTGTAATAGATTGTCAAAATACACAAAATGATTTGAAAGCAGACAGGTAGAAGCGATTGGTTGAAGAAGTATTATGTGGTCTGCAGTTATTGCACATTCCTCGAAAACATAAATCGTAACCGGAAAAATAAATCAACTATGGCTGACAAAAGAATTGGAAGATTACATTAGATTAAAGGTAAGTTGTAAGGTTTATAAGGTTGCAGGGAAAAGTGGTAAGCCAAATAATTGAGACCAATTTAGAATTCAACAAAGGTGGACCAAAAAATAAAACGATTAAAGTGGGCAGAAGAAGATGTCCTCTCTCACTGAGAAAGATGAATACAATAGTTGCATGGGAACATCATTTATGACAACCTCACTCTTAAGCCGTACTTCATCGTGACTTGGACCTATATCACATTATTTCACCATCACTTGGTGAAGACCCTGGAACTCGCTTCCTAAAGACAATGTGGGTGCCCTAACTCACCAAGGAGTGAAGAGTTTAAAGAAGGCACGTCACCACCACCTTATGTTATGTTTGGCAAAGCCTCTTTCCCTCTTTGTCTGTGTCGAACGTGGCACAATGCCACCCTATGCTTGCGGTCTTGACGCCACTGCACAGGCAGAATGTGAAAATTGGTGGCGATTAAGTTAGAGCAAGGGCACCAAGCATGACACCATTCAAACATACAGCAGCATCAACTGACACACATATTGAATGCGGGAATTGCAGAGGTGATCAGTGTGAATCGTTGTGTGTCACCTACAGCAAGTGAAAGTACCTGAAGAAGAGAGATCAAGCCAGACGTGTGAACACAGCGAACACTGTGAACATGAGCCATTGCTATGCCAGTTCAGTTTTCTCTGCCATCTATAATTCCAACGTTTTGCTTTCCGTGCCTGGTTTGTCCATATCCAAGATATACAGAGTGGTAGTGGTTCATAGCAATGTAGGTTGCAACTGACCGAGTTATATGTCATCAGTTCATAATTGTTAACCTGCATCTGGAATCTACTCCTTTAAAATAAATACTAATTCATGTTAAATACAGAAACGTTGTCTGTGCTGTCTGTTGATTTGGATCTCAATGACAGGTAAATCGGGGATTTTGTGGACATTAATAAATTCTTTAACTTTTGGAATACCTCCAGGAACAGCGGGTATTGTGGCTGAACAGGCATCCCAATCATCCAGCTGCATTTGTAAATGCAAATACTTAAGTTTCTTCGGTTGTGGGAGGCCTTGTTCAGCTCTGTATTTGTATCTTTATCTCTAAAAATTAAATTAGGTTCCGGATTTTCTGAATAACACGACTACACTTCAAAAACACTCAGAGCCTGGGACATAATTATCCTGCAGCATGAAAAGTGTTTTAGAAATGTTCATCCCTCAGTTACTACGAGGGTATTCAGAATCAATGGAAGTATTTCCAAAGACACACAACCCTCTGAGAGAACATTTTTCCCTCGTTTCTGTCTTAAATTGATAGCTCTTTAAAATGATGCGTTTAAATTATTAACCCTCGTTCGAGTACACCCCTAAAAATAGAAAGCAACCCTTGAAAAAGTTCCCAAGTTGAGCCCTCTGAAAAAATGTGATGCTTTCTGAAATATCTGCTGCTTGTGCAGTAGCTTCGATCGGACAGCAAATGGTGATATTGTACCATTTTATTTGGAAGACAGCAACAAGCAGAGAACTTTGCCTGTAATTTTTTTCAACCACAAACCAGAAGTATTTTCCATTGCGCATATAAATTAGGGCGGGTTGTATCAGTTTCAACGTTTTATTTAAAGAAAAAAAAAGTAAAATCAGTTCCCAAAGTAAATATTTTTTATTCCAAATTCCTTTTAAGAATTTATTGTCTAACTATTAATAGCATTGGCTGAGGCACACTGGGTACACACAGTATTCTGTGCACCCTGCACCTCTTTCGTGATTGTGTTTCTGAATACAGAGTTTTCAAATGGGAACAGGGCAATGACTGAAAAGGGGCAACCGGTGGATAAATCAGCGCTAATGTCTTTTATTTTAAATTCATTCACGGGATCAGGGCTTCGCTGGCCAGGCAGCATTTATTGCCCAGAGGCCAGTTGAGAGTCAACCACATTACTATGGTCTGTAGTCACATGTAGGCCAGACTTCAACAATACTTTCGTGGTCATGATTAGATTCTTAATTCCAGATTTTTAAAATTGAATTCACTTTCCACCATTTTCCGTGGTGGGATTCAAACCCGAATCCCCAGAACGCTATCTGGGTCTCCAGATTAACAGTCCAGCGATAGTCCACTAGGCCATTGCCTCCCTAGTGAAGATAGTTAGAGCAAGTGAATGTAACAATTGAAGATTTGGAGATGCGAGAACTGCTCCCTGCAGACAGTGGTTAATTCCACAATATGGTAACAATAGCATTAACATCTTACACTCTTGATTCTAATCCTTACATTTCAACATTCTGTCTGAAAAACAATGCTTCAATTCTCTCGCTGAATTTCAGAAAACAATTGATTATTGATCAACTCCAATCCAGAAAATCAAGCAAAATGGATGGAAAACAATGAATGTTCGCCACCTCAAGTGTGAACGGGATGATGCTGACAGACCTGCTCTCCTCGGGCTGAGCTCGAGCAGCTTTGCTCAGTGGTACTATCGTAACTTGTGTGGTTCAATCGAGGTGCGATTGTTGCTTATTGAAAGCTTTACCCAATACCCGGCTGTGCTGAATTGAAATAAAGTCAGTCATTGCAATTTTTGATAGTTTGTGAGAAGACTGATTTGTATTTCCAAAAAAAAGTGAACTAAGGTCAGACAATGCTACCACTATTAAAGTATGCTAAAGTAACGTAGTCATTGGGGAAAGGTGAAGTAAAAACTGAATCAGCGACAAAACACCAGCAGATCTGGCAGCATCCACTTCTTCCTGTCCCGCAGGCCCGACCAGTCCCCCTCCACTGACACCCTCATCCGCTTAGCCGAACTCGTCCTCACCCTCAACAACTTCTCTTTCAATTCCTTCCACTTCCTACAGACAAAGGGGGTGGCCATGGGAACCCGCATGGGCCCAAGCTACGCCTGCCTCTTTGTAGGTTACGTGGAACAATCCCTCTTCCGTACCTACACTGGGCCTAAATCCCACCTCTTCCTTCGTTACATTGATGACTGTATCGGCGCCGCCTCGTGCTCCCAGGAGGAGCTCGAACAGTTCTTCCACTTCACCAACACCTTCCACCCCAACCTTAAGTTTACCTGGACCATCTCTAATACCTCTCTCTCCTTCCTGGACCTCTCTGTCTCCATCTCGGGCAACCACCTAGAAACCGATATCCATTTCAAGCCCCCGACTCCCACAGCTACCTTGAATACACCTCCTCCCACCCACCTTCCTGCAAAAATGCCATCCCCTATTCCCAATTCCTTCGCCTCCGCCGCATCTGTTCCCAGGATGAGGCATTCCACTCCCGTACATCTCAGTTGTCCTCGTTTTTCAAGGACCGTAACTTCCCCTCCTCAGTGGTCGAGAACGCCCTCAACCGTGTCTCCCACATTGCCCCCAATCATCCCTCACACCCCATCCACACAATAACAACCAAAAAAGAATCCCCCTCATCCTCACGTACCACCCCACCAACCTCCAGATCCAACGCATCATCCTCCAACACTTCCGCCATCTGCAATCCGACCCCACCACCAAAGACATCTTTCCCTCCCCACCTTTATCTGCTTTCCGGAGGGACCACTCTCTCCGTGACTCCCTTGTCGGCTCCACACTCCCCACCAGCTCCACCACTCCCGGCACTTTTCCCTGCAACCGCAGGAAGTGCTACACCTGCCCCCATACCTCCTCCCTCACCCCCATCCCAGGCCCCAAGAAGACTTTCCACATCAAGCAGATGTTCACCTGCACATCTGCCAATGTGGTAAACTGCATCCGCTGTACCCGTTGTGGCCTCCTCTACATCGGGGAAACCAAGCGGAGGCTCGTGGACCGCTTTGCAGAACACCTACGCTCGGTTCGCAATAAACAACTGCACTTCCCGGTCGCGAACAATTTCAACTCCCCCTCCCATTCCTCAGACGATATGTCCATCCTGGACCTCCTGCAGTGCTACAACGATGCCACCCAAAGGTTGCAGGAACAGCAACTCATATTCCGCTTGGGAACCCTGCAGCCCAATCGTATCAATGTGGATTTCACAAGCTTCAAAATCTCCCCTCCCCCTACCGCATCCCAAAACCAGTCCAGCTCGTCCCCGCCTCCCTAACCTGTTCTTCCTCTCACCTATCCCCTCCTCCCACCTCAAGCCGCACCCCCATCTCCTACTTACTAACTTCATCCCCCCGCCTTGACCTTTCTGTCCTCCCTGGACTGACCTATCCCCTCCCTAACTCCCCACCTACACTCACCTTTACTGGCTCCATCCCCGCCTCTTCGACCTGTTTGTTTCCTCTCCACCTATCCTCTCCTCTATCCATCTTCTATCCGCCTGCCCCTCTCTCCCTATTTATTTCAGAACCCCCTTCTCCTCCCCATTTCTGATGAAGGGTCTCGGCCCGAAACATCAGCCTTTCTGCTCCTATGATGCTGCTTAGCCTGCTGTGTTCTTCCAGCTCTGCACCTTGTTGTCCCCAATCTATTCCAGTCCCTGTTTACATACTTGACCGGTAGCTTTGTATGCTCCAATGCATCGCATGTTCTAAATAGTTCTTCACTATCTTGACTGTTTCATTGGAACACCAGCAGCTCCTTCAAACAAAGACAGGAAACATGGTTGTTCTTTGGAACGTGAAATCCGCACATTCCTACTTGAAGTCAGTTCCGCATGGCCGAACACTTTTTCTGAGCTGTTTCTCACTTTTGCTAAAGTGTGGCTCAGTTTCAGGTTTTGTTGCGAAATATCCCTGAAAAGCGCTTGGGACGTACCATTTTATGTTCTATACGTTACAGAAATGCCATTGTCTCTGTCAGAGAGAAGCAGGAAGAGGTAAAATCTCGTGTTGCATCTTGGCTCCAGATATGTTTTCTCTTTTCTTCTGAAGCAGGGTCACACCGTCATGAAAAGGTGGAAGGAGTGATAGAGAGATGTACAGGCACTGACAGACCCTAATGATAAATCAAATGGACTGAAAGCCTGAAAGAGTAATTGAGAAAGAGAAAGAATAGGAGAAAGTAATTTTATGCAGCTGTCGTTGATTGGAGTGTAACTGTCATTGGTTCTGACAAAGCAACTAATCCTGTTCCTGAAATATGCCGCTCAGTTTCTCAAATAATGAAGCCAGACCCTGATCTCGGTTAGACTTTAATATTCGACGTGAGAGTCAACATACACAAAACTACTATCTCTATATACAATGCTTTCTTCCCTATTGTAGGATTCTATGATTTCTATTTGTGAATAAACTTACAAATGCTAGTTTAAGTGAATATAGCCGAGCTGGAATACAATAATATTATTTCAACAGTCACCATCTTTGGTGCATATATACAATCTCTATATATAATTACAAAAAAAAAAAAATTCATTCACGGGACCTTCTTGTTTGTTTTTCTGTGAATTACAAAACCTAAAACCATGTGCTCACTGTGTCTTTTCCTCATATTAACGGTCTCCCTGTCTGCTGACTCAATGGTAAAATAATTAGTTTTTCATCCAGGAATTGCACGTTCTCCCTGCGTTTTCAATCATTCTGCGTTGGTGTTACAGGGTTGGTGGCCAGGGTTCGATGTCTCAGGATTTATCTGAATTAACGGATCTGGAAGTACAGAGTGCAATACTCGAGTGTCGTTACTCAACAGCTGTCCTTTCTCCGATTCTACTGTGGTACACCAAGTATCCCGAGTAAACTCCGAGATACTTCCTGATGGTGTGTAGAATAGGGCTGAAGATAAGCCTTTAGACTTAGCAAACAGGTTCTCTGTTGATTTACACAAAGAAAACAAAATGGTTCCTTTAAGTATCTTCGGGGCCCTCCATCCATCAACGCCTTGTACTTCTGTGCCATGAAGCTGACGTTGATGCAGAGATATGTTAGTCATTTCTTGAGAGTCCCAGTCTTGCCCAGGAGAGGGTGCACTCGCACCAATATACAGAAGCAAGAATTTAACCTTCACATTAACCATCCGCAATGAATCACAGAATCCCATCAGTGTGGAAGCAAGACATTCTGTCCATTGAGTCTACACCAGACCTCTAAACAACATCCCACCCACACCCAGCCTCTTTCTCTATCCTTGCATTTTGCTCGGCTAATCCATAGGACCTGTGAATCTTTGGGCAGTATGAGCAATTCAGCATAGCTAATTCACCTAACCTGCACATGGTTGCAATGTGGAAGGAAACTGCGGCACCCACAGGAAACTCACTGTGTGAATGCATAAACTCCACACAGATCATCGCCACGAGCTGGAATCATGCACAGCTTCTTGGGCTGTGAGGCGACAGTGATAATCATTGAGTTACTGTGTCGCCCTAAAGAGCATAACAAACCACAATATGCACCAAAGATGGTGACTGTTGAGATAATATTATTGTATTCCAGCTCTGCTATATTCATTTAAACCAGCATTTGTAAGTTTATTCACAAATAGAAATCATAGAATCCTACAATAGGGAAGAAAGCCATTTGGACCATCATGTCCAGACTGCTCCCCCAAAGAGCATCCGAAAAGACTCGCCCATTCCTGTAACGCTGCATTTTTCATGGCTAATCCACCTAGCCCGCACAAGCCTGGACATCACTGGGCAATTTAGCATGACCAGTCTACCTAATCTGCATATATTTCGACTGTGGGAGGAAACCAGAGCAACTTGAGGAAAACCACGCAGACACAAGGAGAATATACAAACTCCACACTTACAGAATCATAATAATTTAATTTTCTTCGTATTTTGAAGCAATTATTGTGTCTGTGTGTGATACTGATCAACCTTTCCACATTCCAATGTCATTTTTCTGGAACCTTGCATTGCAACCTGTTCGTCGAGTTTCTTTAATGGGAGTGTACTGCTGCGTCATAAGCAGCTAATGCATAATGAGCATATTTCTCGAAGGATTGACTGTAATTTTTCAAAAAATGTCGCAGACATAGATCTTCAAATGTCAATTGTACTTCAGGATGACCCTTCAATTCTGGCAACTGTTCTGTTCGAAGGAACAATCCCAGACAATCATTTCCAGCTCCCAAGAAAAATATCCAGATGCTTTGCAGTGGACAAACTCTACTAGCTCTGCTCTCCTCAGGATTTCTGCCTACATTTGGACTTCAAGTCCCAAATGCCATTCATTCCACAGCCGTAAGTCACTGACAGACAAAAACACCTTGTGTGTCTCCGGTGCAAAATTAATCAAAACCAAACCCATCAAGAAATTCAGTCTGATTATTCACTTTGAATAAAATACACCGAGGATCTTCATGTACATTCCACCTCTACTTCTTTGAGTTAAATATTTCAGATTAAAGAGAAGACTGTCAGATTTATTAGGCATCAGGTTCTCTACATTTATCCGTTCTTTCTCTGATCAGCAGAATGTGAGGTTAAAGTCAGAAACACCAAATTTTGGGGCTGAAAAGACGCATAATCAATTAGATTCAGTGATCACAGCTTCTTGCTGTGAATAAAGTGACATCACACGAATGCCAGCCAATGATTTCAGGGTTTTTGTTCTCTCTCTTATTCGCTACTGAGCATATATAAGAAACATAAACAAATCTCCAGGAACCAGAGGAACCGTGATGGAGTTATCAGTTTTCATGGTGATCTCAGTAATACTTATTGTAGGTAAGAAGCTTCAAAAAAAAAGTGTCGTTGCAGTGATGATCCTAGTCATAAGGGATAATAGCTTCGGAAACTTACAATCCAACACGAAATAATTCTTTTGGCTCTTAAGGATAAGACTAATAGGAATATTTACACTGATGGAAGTATTTGGTGGTGTCAGCATAGAGACAACCTTTTGGGCTGGGAAGGTTTCGAAAATAACGAGTCCTAAGTATAAGAGTCAGAAAAAATGATCCAATAGTAAATTTAAGGGAATCCTGTTTTGGCTTTAGAATATGGAACTCATTGGACCAAGGATTGGTTGAGTTATGCAATGAAGTTATGAACTGGAAGTCAGCTAAACAGGTGATGAAGAGATTAAAAATGGGCATAAAAATGAAATTAGATCAAGGGGTAAGGTGGATTGTTGTGCAGATTGTCAACACAGATATCTTCTTTTTTTTTCTGAAATAGGCTTTATGTTCAAAACAAAATATGGAATTTCTGGGAAACCTCCGTAAGTCTGGGAGCATCTTGGAGAGAAAGCAGAAATAAAGCAATTTCGAATCAGAACTGAACTTTCCAGCTTCCGGAGTACTTTTTGAATATTTTTATTTTATGTTAAAATTCCTGTTTAATGTCATGTCAAACCGAATGCGAATTTCTTTTACTGTATTTCAACCGAACTCATAATCAATGATTTCCGTTTTCTTTAACCTTGTTTTCCAGATCTGAGCGATGGAGTTTCTGTTACTCAGCGGGAGCATTCGCTCACAGATACGGAGGGAGAAGATGTCACTTTAAACTGCACCTACACCGGTGATGCATATTACTTGTTCTGGTACCGTCAGCACCCAGGCAGAGAGCCCGAGTTCGCAGCCCGGAGGCATAAGAGCGGTGGTTCTGAACTTAAGGCGGATTTTGCTCAGAAACGATTTTCTGACACAGTCCAGCAATTAGAGAAGTTGTACCGATTGACAATCTCGGAGATTCTGCTGTCTGACACTGCTGTGTATTACTGTGCAGTGAGCTTCACAGTGATGGGAACGAGCGGAAGCCTCATACAATATCTGCTGCAGGTTTCTGGGCCACAGCTGCTGCCTGTGAGGGCTGTTTACAGCAGGTTCTCACACGCTGTTACTTCATTAGATTCCTGGACTGTTAAACTTGTATCATAATCTACATAAACATTATTAAAAGTTGTTCACGTCAAAACTGATTCAAACACTAACTGTGCAAAGGAGGAAATGACTGCTGTTTATTTGGCGATCTCTGTGAATTCGAAAATGAAATGAAGAAGAGATATCCTTCAGGTGGACTTGGAGAAGATATGTCTTCGTCTGGCAGTTCGAGAAATATCTCACTACAAAGAACCGGCAGTTTTGATTTAAAATATCAGTTTTTCAGTGGATGCTGAAGCCTGCCAGGTTAAAGTCCTAATAATTGTATAACTTGATTACAGGTCTCTCAATGTTAAAGATGTTTACACATATTAATACTAAGCCTCTATAATATTAGCAGGAGCAACGAGATTGTTATCAATGTAAAGTTCGAAGTTAACTTCAGAAATAATCTGTAACACAGGAATAGTGAGCTCCAGGTTCAAGCAATGGTTCCTGAATGATCAGAAATCAGCCCGAGGACAAAGGCAAAGTTGAAAAAGTAACAGAAAGTTTGATGAAATTGCTTTTGCAAATCTAGACATACCAGATAAGGCTGTAGGAGCTGTTGTAAGTTTACTCCGCGTTCCGCAGCATTCAGTAGCTTTTGCTTCATGTTCTGCTGTGTGCGCCTTGTTTATCGTCTGGAACACAATTTTTGACAGTCATTCGACTGCAAAGACTTTAATTTTCACAATGGGTTAAACTCTCTAATCTCATATTCGCGTTTTAGTCGAAATTTGTTCAACATAAACTGAGAAGAGGAAAACTTTCCCAACGCTGCACCGTGGCTGTCGACTTGTTACTTACTTTGGTTTACTTGAATTCAGCGCATTCCAGTATAAATTTAGGAAGTAAATGTTATTCCCGACTGTGCAGCACATTGCATTTCGTTATCTTGTGGCAGTGTTTATGTATGAACCTTCCCCTACTTCCAGTCACTGTGTCTCTCAGCCCACAGTGATACACCCCGCTGTCAGACAGATGGAGATCACTAATGGTAAAATTCCCCTCAGTGTTCGAAACGTCCAGAGATGCAGAAAATCGAACGCCAACGTCATTTGCTCTGAGGATCTCTCCGTATTTAGGGATGTAGATCAGGAATGTCAATGATTTACCCTGATCTTGACGATACAGTTGTAAGGAATATGAACTAGCTGTTGTTGAATATTTGAAATGAATGGTCAACGATTCTCCTTCGATTTGTATTACTGTAACTGGCTTCTGTGAGACAGAGTCTGCACAATTAACACCTGCAGAAATTTCAAACACAAAACGACATTTAAAGGACGGTTATAATCGCTGTTTCGAAATTAAGGGCACGTAGTGTAATGCAGGGAAACACGGCCAAAGAGAAGGTTACTTAATCGCATATTGCGCACAAGAGAATATTTTACAACTCAGCAACTTACCACTTAAGACAACTGCTGCGGTTAGGAATGAGAAAACAATAAGAACCGACATATTAATAGAACGAATGGTGTGTTTAATCAGAGGGAGCTAAAGCTGAATTGTATCAGCTCAGAACTAATTGTGGGTTTGAACAGAAGAAACAGCAGTTGAACAGTCTCAACCCAAAGTTGGGAAGATGTCATATCCGGGCTTGCTGATGATTGTTTCATATCTGACACAAACATGAGGTGAAACCCAATCAGCTGAAAACCCCTTTGTTCCACAGTCAATGACGACAGAGCCGGTCGCATGGGCACAGAATGGGAGGTGCAGGAGGCCATTTCACCATTTAATTCTGCTCTACCATTCCAAAGTACAACTTTTGAACTACCGTATATCCATCCTCCTTCATGATCTCTGAAACCCTTTCCAGTTAACATCAAAACTCTACCAACGTGTTTCTGAAATAAACCAAAACATTACTGCTCTCTGGGAAACCACAAAATAACGAGACAGCATCAACCCCATCCGTGGTTCATGGAAGGGTCAATGTTTGCTTTCAGCCAGTGATGGGTAATAGTGAATGGTGTTATTGTTTCGATTATCATTGTCTGCCGTGAAAAGAGTGGCACCATGAAAATTACAAGCAACTGCTATAAAGAAGGTTTTTGTACAGAATGCAATGCAGAAAAATGTCTTTGGAAAACTGGTTTTTCTATGTTTTGACTATATTAACAATTCACAATAGCGATCAGAGACCCTAATCTGTGAAGAAGGTGCTGCTAAGAGTCTCCTGTAGGTTGACTACAGCCCTATAACAGTATTGGTGGTATTGCACAGTAATACGTGTCAGAGTCAGAGACAAGAACCACAACGATATCTAATGAAACTGTTTGCTTGTCTTCGTCCAAATTAGAGAAAGTTGGTCGAAAAACCATGGAGACTCATCTGCCTTTCCCTTGTTGACTCTCCTCAGTAAATATCTCAGAGTTTCCGAGGGATACTAAATGTACCAGATGAGAGTTGGTTACTGCATTGTGTGGTGAAGCTACAGTTCAGGTTTAGGGTCTGTCCTTCATAAACTTTAAACTGGAGCAGATCTTGGAAAACTGAATCTTGGCCACTCTTTCCTGTAACAAGCACTTAAAATGTATCAAAGGTATAAGTGCATAAAAAAATGAAACATACAATGACAATTTCAAATCAGATTCACGGGGCAGCATGGACATAAGTACCAGTAAATCACGTAGACAATACATGATGCTCAGCTCGATAGTAAATAATACAATAGTTAAGATGTTGCTCTTTCAACCTTATATCAGTGACTGAACACAGACCAAAAGCAGGCTTTACTTAATAAGACTCTCAGCGCTATATCTCAGTGGTTGCAATTGGGTGATTTCTCAGATCTGTCATTAACTGTGGACCAGTCACTGTTAGCTGAGGAATAAATGCAATTGACTCTCTCCAATCAATTCCCCGGTTGTTTGCCTATCCTGCTCATCATGTTGCTCCATTGCATATTTTCAAACATTCAGCGAGCGATCATGACTTTGAAGGCTTTATCCTCAGGGAAACAGAATCCCAAAGAATGATGACCCAGAAAGAAAATAAATTCCTCCACAAATTCCTCTTGAATGGGACGACACTTTTCATTAAAATGTTGCCCTCTCCATTCTAGATTCTTCAGCAAGAATAGACTTCCGTTCAGTATCTGCACTATCGATCCCCTTCAGAATCATATGAACTGCCTACTGGTGCTAGACTTTAGGCACATCTTCTAAGGGAGAGGAACTTAAAGTGGGGTGGAGAGGATCGATGGGGAGAGGATCCCAAATTGGTGGGCCACAAATGTACGAACGACACAAGTGGATAAACAAAAGAGGTTCTGTACAATCTGTACGAGGTACGAGGCACGAAATTATGAAGTAGAATGTCAAAGGTCATTTTGAAACTTCGGATATTTCTGAACCACGTGGAATAAGAAAAAGTCAAGTTAGAGAGATAAATGATTCGTTGAAAGATTGGTGTGGAAGAAGTCAAGCACCAGCACTAAAACGGGAGAATATTGGGAGTTGCACCGATGAGACAACATTAAGCTGAATGACGCTGGGACTTTTTGTTAATGCCAATGGAATAACTATGAAAGTAGGGAAGATTTGAAATTAAATGACGTAGGACAATTAATGAAATTATGGAAAACGTAGCAAGAAAGATATCGTTTAAATGTGACAAAAAATCTGGCCATCACATAAGGTTACAGAGAGTACAAATCTAAGAGACACCTCAGAGAAATGACGAGAGGATAAACAAAAACTATAAAGTGTTAAGTGTCTCTGTATCTGAATGTGCGTTACACTCGCAACAGAATAAATAAACCAAAAGTGTAAATCAAAATTAATAAGCATAATCTAGCAACCATGATAGAAACAGTTCTGAAAAACGACACGAAATGGGATCTGAATATAGAAGGATATAGGTTTCAAAAAGGATAGGAAAGTAGAAAATTATGAAGGTTAGTTATGTTTGTGCAGTATACATTAAACATAACAGAGTGAAACACCAACTTAGAGAAAATCCGTTTTGGCTAGAGAGTAAACTATAAAGGCATGAAATGTGGGTAGTGTGTGGCCACACCCCCTGATATCAGAAAGTAGGTACAGCATAAAATGTGAAGCAATGGTCACTGTCAGTAGTTCGAGATAATCATGGGATAGTTTAATCCACATTTATACTATAAATGTTAAATTGTTAAAGGCAGCCTCGATGGGGAGTTCATGGAAAATTTTCACGATAGTTTCTTAGAATTGTTTGTTGTGAAGTCACCTGAACAGGAGATCTTAGTAGATATGGCACTGTGCAACCATATAGGATTAAATAATGATCTCATAATGAAGATATTCATAGGGACCAGTCACCAAACAATGTTGAACATTTCATTAAATTTGAGAAAGACGTCCCCGTGAGCTAAAGCGTGGACTTCAAACTATTTCACCTGCTTCACGGTAAAATTGCCTTTCTGGTGAACAATGCATGGAAATCTAGTTTTGGAGTTCTGATCAGGATCTTTGCAGAATTCTATGCTTCTCGTGACATCAGTGTCAAAGTTCACGCTAGTGTCGACTGTTACTTTGATAAATTTTGCTGATCTGTTAATCACGGATGAACAACCAATTAATTATTCTGAAATTCCAATTCTCATTCTCACCAATGAGACAAAGAGACAATCATGGAGCATGCCAAGGATGAAGGCAGTATCAGAACTGGGGTGAATAGTTGTGTTCAAGTTTATTTTATTGCGTCATCAATTTCTACTTCAAAGGTCATATCAACTAATGGATGTTTTACCATTTCCTATAGATCCAGATGTAATAATGACACCAACAATCAGAACTAGCTAAATTTAGATCATTATAACCTTCTTTTCCATCAGCATTACAGCAGCACTACTATTGTTACAGACTTTAGAACAGGTATGTTGAGAATGGAGTTTTACTGAGAAGAAATACCAACCATGCATGTCGTGAGTTAATGAGGAGAAGAATATACCATATGATTCTCTTTGATACTTCTTAAGTCTGTCAGTTTTTAGCGTAGGAAAAATTCAGTTGGGGTACAATTACAGA